GGCAGGCTTCATGCTCTCTACAGAGTGTACTCTCTCTGAAAATTTCATCCAAATCAGACAAAAAACAAGGTTATAGATATTTTATCGTTTCCCCATTATACCCTATGGCGGGATCTCCGAGGCAGCTCCAAAGCGCTTCAGAAGCTCCAAACCGCTTCAGGAAGCCTAACAAGGCCAGTGCTTCAACCTGGACATGCTGCTTCTGACCCCGAAGCATCCAAAGCTTATCCAGATCTGAAGCTCTGTCCGAAGCCTCGCACAGCCCTAGCAGTAACCACTGCGTATTAATGAACATGTATATGCACCCACTGGGAGGTACAAAACAAGACAAGCAAATAGGATTATCAGTTCTAAAATTATTAATATGTATGATTGGCATTTTGTGCGCACATACAAGTATTTTACAGAATAATTTTTTCTTAAGACAATTTAAAAACACTTTTGTCAAGAATACCTACTCCAATGTGAAAAATTTCTGGATTACAGAACCAGTTAACCATGTCCCCAGTAGAGACAAAAAGACGGGGCTGCTGTTCTGAAGATATACAACCAGAGTTAAGACTAGATAGATTTGCCCAAAAAAATACACAAGTCACTTGAAATACATGTGGGGAATGGGGAGGAAAATCAACACTTCCATTCTAATATAATAAAAAGCTTAGTACTTCTGTCCATCTGTCTGTCTGTCACACTGGTGGCCAACTGCACATGTGCCCCAGAGAGGACTGGTGGCAATTGGCTGCATGGGCCCCAACCCCTCAGGCAGAAAACTGGAGGGAGCCCTTAGGCTTTAATACCGTATTGACTTGGTTCCTGTCAAAGCTGACAGGAGCACTGGGACCCAGCAGGAACTTCAGCAAGATTGAGCAGCCCAGCTATTGCACTCCCTGCTGGATCCCCACAGCCACCCTGGTAGGGTGTGTGGTTTGGGGTGGGGGGAGAGAGAGAGTGTACACGCGCCAGGGGTTGCGTGGGTGTTGATGTGCGGCCAAGGGCTGGGTGGGTGGGGGTTTGCAGCCAGGGTCAGAGTGGGTGAGTGGCTGTGGGTGTGTAGCCAGGGGAACAGTATGCGAGTAGGTGTGGGTTTTGGTGAGCAACCACAGGCTGGGTGGGTGGGGATGTGCAGCCAGGGTCAGAGAGCGAGCGAGCACACGTGCACATGCACACACACAGGCAGGAGCAGAGTGGGTGGGGTATGCATGTGTTCATAGCACGAGTCCTACATGCACACCCCACCACAACACACACACTCACATGCACCCACACTCGCCTCGCACTGCCATATACACAGACCGCCACAAACCCCATACCCACTCACACCCCACATACGCAGACACACACACACCTATAGCACCCCACAACACACTTCATTCTAAGCTGTTGTGCAATCACCTCTATGTACACTACACAAACACATGTAAATCGGGACAAAAATTGTTTTAAATCAAATTAATGAATACTGTACGTTTCCTTTTTTAGACTAGAATTTCATATTTTTCTGGTTCCAAGATGGCAAAACCCTTTGCTGAAAGGAGCACTTCTGGGAGCAAAGGTCAGGGGCTTGGGGGCAGGACTTCCAGCCACAAGATGGCGACCAGGGGGTGGGGCACCTGCCAAGAGGCAGAGCTACTCATGCAGCCCTCGACAGCTTGCCAAAACTCTGTAAGTGGTCCTCCACCCAAAATAATTGCCTGCCCCTGTTTTACATGGCCAGCCCCAAGCGGGGGGGGGGGAAATGTAAGCTCTCCCTGAAACGCTCCATCATTCATGACAGGCAACTGGCTGGTACTCTTTATAATTGCACACTTTCACCACTGGTGCAACTATCCACCAATAGATACCACTGCTTGCAAAAGTGAAACAGGCCAGGGAAATGGCATTAGTCTTATTAACATGTAACTCTGCTTCTGCTTTTGTGAAATATGGCATCTTCCAGTATAGACTATTATATAAGAAGTATCTCTGTTCAGTTAAACCACAGTCTGTGCTGACACACACAATTCTGTGCAAAAGCAGAACAGTTATGAAGTATTTCCTGCCAAAAATAAACACTCTCTTCTTGACTGGTTTAACAGCACAATTTTGCTTATTCATAAATCTTAACTGTGGCACTTTGTAGTTAAATGGGTCATGAAAAGATTGCTTTTCCTAACTGATTTAACTGTTCTCCCAGGTTTGTGTCAAATACCATCTGCTAGTTTGTACAATGTGGTTTAAAGGAACAATTTTGCCTGTCAATCTGTCTTTAATGCACGATGAGCCAACCGATGCTAAGAGTGCCCCAAGGGCTAGGCCTAAAGGCCTTGGGGATTAGGGAATGGCATTTCTATGGAGGTGAATCAGATTCAGTTTCTGGTCCTTGGCTTTTGCTTCCTGAACCAACAAGGATTGAAAACCCTGTGTAAAGCCATTCAATTGCCTACTGATTATCATTTGTTATGATCATGTTGCAAGCAGAAGCTCAGTCTGTTGACCCAGGGCTGGCTTTGCCAGGATGTGCTGTGGAAAGGGCACATTCAGGCCCCATATTAAGGCACAGAAGCAAAGAATATCTTGAACCATTTGATACCAGTTCTGTCTGACTACAGAACAACAATGATCAGCCTGAGGTAGTCCCAACCTTGTCCTCACAGACTGAAAGGTTGGCAAAGGGAAAAAGAATCAGAGAGCTCTGATGGAGATCTGGCAGTGTCCCCTGAGGAAATAGTATTTCACATTTAATGATCTTTCCCCTCTTTTTTCTAAAGCACATCCTGCAATAATGACAGTTTATGTAACTCTAGGGATGTAAGCTTTCTTCATCTTGATACTCTTTGCATTATAAAGTTATAATTAAAGAAACTGGCAGCCACAAGCTGATATATCACTCCAAACTTACCACATATTAAGTATAGGATCTTCCTCCAGATGCAAACTTTTAGAAGGAATTTTGTATGAATTGCAAAAACTATTTCATGGATATTAACCATTATTTTCTAATTCCTGTATAACCTATATATTTTTCATAGATTTTATATAATAATTCCTGGCTGCAACCCATTATGTATGCTACACAGAAACTTTATTTTATTTCCAGTTATATTTTAATTATTTTGTTCAATGTATCAAAACAATGGCACTTACGTATCAATAGCACAGACATCCAAAAGCATTAGAAAAGTCTTTAAAAATGAAAACTAGAAAGTAATTATTCACCCATAACTGACATACTACCAGAGCCACTTCTGGGAACAAAGTGCTTAAACTATAAAACAACTGAATGCAACCCTGTGTAAGAGTACACAGCCAAAGCCTGAACACAGCAGGAACAAACAGCCCAACATTACAGTGGTACAAATTGATCAACTCATTGTTACTGCGTGATAGCGTTGGAAAAAAAAAAAACATGCAGTGACAGTACTGTATAGTCATTTAGCACTTGCTTATGCAAGTGCTAAATGACTGCGCAGTAACAACTATGCAGTCCGCCACTCATGTAGATGTGGCCACAAGGACCCATTTTACCCCCTTTTCTTTTATATACAAATGAGAACATGGGAAGAGATCATGAAATGCCACAGGCTCAGCTGCCTACAAAATACTGAGGATACCCCTAAGCTTCCCTCCTGCCAGTGCTCCTGTGGGGACCAAAACCCAGAGGTCCTTGGCTAGATGATCTTGCCCCTCCACTCAGGGTCAGATTGATTGCAATATTTGGGGTCAAGAAGGAATTATACCCCATGGTCAGATTGGTATGGATTGTACAGATTTTTGTCTTCCTTTGCAGTGGGTTCTAATCTTTTAAGCAATTAATGAATTACACGCTGGATACGTTAAAAATAGACTTTTAAATCCATGACTAGCCAAAACAATCACTCTCCTTTGAAACAATATAGATTGTAAAGTCTAAAATGAAACATGCAAGAGCCAGAGGAAAAAAAAAACAATTCTCAAAGAGTGAGATCTAATCATGAAGTGAACTTTCAAAAGAAATTAAGTGAATTCAAAGTCTGATTGTTTTTATGAAATGCTGGAGGAAAAACCCCCCCCACAAAAAACCAAAAACAAACCACATACCCTTTGAAACTACTTTCCCCCTCACATTCATGATACTGGTACCCTCATCTACAGAAACAATTCCTCCCTCTCCACTCAAGTCCTTCTTCAATTAAAACAGAAACAAAACAAAATTACCAAACTTCAAACAGTGTAACCAGAAACAGGAGAAGAATCCACTAGAGACTTCACTAGAACTATCAATTTTACACAACAGGCACTTAGATGCCATGATGGTGGAAAGCAGCATAAGACACTAGGACAAACAGAAAGTAATGGGTAACTTCTCTAAATGAAGTAAGAGGAAAATTTTAGGAATGTGTGAATCAGTAATTATCCTCCTTGGAATCTGGTCCTCATCTCTCCTCTTTTAAACAAGTTCCATGGGATCTCTCTGTAACAACCATATCTGCCTTACAAGATGCTGGGTACAAGGTGCTTTGCAACTCCAAAAGAAGATAATAGGAAGCAAAATCACACCTAATATCCAAACAGTATTGGGTCACCACTTAATTATACAGCAACACAGCACCTAGTAAAATCATCAGAACATCTGCATAAGCTGCTTGACAACTGTCAGAGAGAATACGGCACCGTTTCGTAGACTGATAATATTCTGTTTGATGGGTTGCACTAGGTAGCTTCAATTGCACGAGCTGAAAGTTATAACAACCATCAGAAGAACAGTAACACCCTGCTGCAATAAGACAGATTTCAGATTTAGACATTAAATTTCCAATAGACCATTTCAGTTTCAGCTGTTCTACCTGCTGAAGACTTTTTTTTACAGAGCAAGAGATATTATAGCCTTGTTTTTAATGTAAACAGATCCTTCAACACAAGCATCTTGCATGCTTTTTATAGACTTAAAGAAAATGTTTGATGACTGTGGAAGGTAAGAAGCAATGTAAGGGTTTGTAAGTCACCAAAACTCCCACCACAGTCAAAACAGGGATGTAACTCACCTTTCAGGGCTGACTGTTCAGCCTGTGTATACATCCCCAGGAAGAAATAAGTGCAGGCTAGGTTCACCCAGACATCAGGGTTGCAACCTGGCTTCTTGGTAAGAGCCTCATACTCCTGAAACAGAGAAGGTGTTTAAAAAACGGTGTTTGTGATAAGACAAACATTTGACACCAAGAAGAGTGCCGTGCAGGCATCATAATTCTATCTTTTTGATAATGGACAAAATACAACATGATATAAATCAACTAACTCCTCCCAAGGTAAAAAGATAACCTAATAGTAGGAACAACATTTGATTCTGTTTAGAGTCTGACAGAGTATGTGCTACTGCTTCCTCCTACCCACTCTACACAACATACTACTAAAATTGACAATAAGAGCCTGCAGGATTATCTAAGGGGCTGGATATCCTGCATAGCAAGGACTAGAGGGGTAATAAGACAACTACTTCCCTAACATTTACTGAACCCCTAGAATACCTGATTATCAGTTCCTACTCCATATTACACACTATCCTATGCGCTGTTCTGGAGATCAGAAAACCCCACTAGATAACAGAATCCAATAATTGCATAGTTATTATGGTTTCTGATAAGCACATTTTATAACATCTGTATAGCATAATTTAACAAACTAAAATACAGGCATAAGAGAGAATATTGGTCAACTCCAAAAACTCCATAGTTCTAAAAAGAAAAAAGCTAAGTGTGAGAAGCTAATGCCTAATGATAGGCTTCTCCTTTAAAGATCTTTATGTATCAACCATTATTACAGAAAGCCACTGAATTTGCAGTATCTGACTCCTGATTTCCTTTTACATCTATGCTCATTCCACATATTTGAATGTTGCCATATATGCTGCTTTATTTTCTCACTAATTTCCATAGAATAAAAGTATATTTTGCTCTGCACTTTTAAGAGATTGTTAAATTTATTTTAGAGTATATTAGGCATTAAGTATTATGCTAGTGAAAAGTGCAGTTCTGATATCTCTGATGATAGGAATCTTTCATCCATAGACCATACAGCCCAGGCAACAGAAGGTATATGGATGCTCAAAGGGAAACAGCCGTTCTGGGCTAAATTCAATCATGAAGAAAACTGAAACGCCTATATCCTACTCCATCCATCATTAAAGCTAGAACTCAGCTCCTGATGCTGCTAATAGCAAAAAAAAGTGGAGGAAGGGATTCATTCAAATATTTGTACTTCTTAAAAAACTGGAACAATAGCTTCACCTAGTGGTGAAACACAATGTAGACAGAGAAAAAAAAAAATCAGGTAATTCAATTTCCTTAAGTCCTTTTGTAATTTTGCATCCCAAATTTAAAGATCTCTCTCAGCTTTCCTTCTAGAAACAAAAATTTTACAAGGTATTGAACACAGACTGCACTTCAAAATGGAAAGCACCTTGGATTTTTTAATACAAGAGAGAAACTTTGGTTTATTTTACCATGTCTCTCCCCCTCCAAAAACAGTTACTTGCTGCACACAACTAAAAAGGTTTTCAGTACTTTCAAGTCCTTTAAATCTAACTCTAACATTTAAGATGATAAAGGTCACTTTGTAACCAAAAGCAACCAATCACATAGGAAGGATATGTGCCCTGATCAATGTTCTGGGACATGGGGAAGGCTAAATACCTTCAAAAGTCTTGAACACATACTCAGCAGTGTTTGGGAATGGAAATTCTACCTGAGACACAAATTTGGAAACCCTTTTAACATTGTACACATGAACAAGATTCACTGCAGTTAAACAACTACTTGTACAGGGGAAGAAATTGTCATAGATACATAATGTACTTCTTTTAAAGCATAAGATGACATCTTTCCCATTATCCCCGTGATGCCTATTTTTAGAAATTCACTGTTTTATTACTTTTCCCCAGTATTAATGAAGATGTGAGAGTAGGAAGCTATGCAGACAAGTTAAAAGGCTGTGAAAACTCATCTCAAAATGACAGAAGGCCAGGTAGACAAAAAAAAGTAGACTAACGTTTCATCAGATGTCAAAAATAAGAGACATACTGACATGCCTGATAACAGAGTGCTTTCCAGTTTCAATGATCCCAGAACTGGCAGCAAATTCTTCTTCCAAGGAGTGGAGGTGCAGAGAACATGAGGATGACAATGGAGAGAAAAAGGCAGAACCATGGTGGAGGACACAGGTTCCCATCAGACAAACATGCAATAAGTACCATGTGATACAAGTACCTGGAAAACCTATGGATCATTCAAATAACCAACGTATTTTCAAAAAAATCATGGTGGGGGGGAGGTGGGAAAAGGGATGTTTTACTTATCCGTAAATTATCCAATTCCCAAGAATTTACAGAACAACACAGATAGTTCAAGAGCTAGCAACACTCACTTGTAAAAAGAGATTAAGCCTGTATACCAGTAGCGCTCAACCTTTTTCCTAGGCAGGCTGAATGGGCAGTGCCTGGTCCATGCACAGGCCAGATGTGACCAGTGGCCCTGATCCAGCACCCAGGACAAGTGCAGCCCCATCTGGCTGTGTGGAAGGGGGAAAGGGGCAGCTCAGGGGGGTCCAACCCAGCAGCATGGGGAGAAGGGGATGTGGCCCAGACATGATTCAGTTTGGGGGGGAGGTAAGGGGGAGGCTGTGTGCAGAGAAGAGGGTGTGGCTTGCCCCCATCTGGCTGCACCACTGGAGGGGGTGTAGGCACTTGGCAGCAGTGGAGAGAGTGGCCACTGCTCCCCTGCCACCAAATCTCCCAGCCCTTGGGGAGCCCATGGGCCAGATACAATGGTCCACAGGCTGCATTTGGCCAGTGGGCTGGAGACTGAGCACTCCCTGCTGTATACTAAGCACTGGCCAATTGATAAAAGTGAGGACTCAGTAATTTACACCATTTTGGAAGGTGCAAACCCCAAACACTGGAAGGGTGACTGGAGCACACAGGAGCAAACTAAAAAGGCTTCTTGAGGCTTTTAAGTAAAGACCCTACCACCACCACCGGACCAGCCGGCTTCAGCATTTAAGCGTAGACCCTCCTGCTTTCCGATCCAAGCACATGGCCAGTGTGGCTGCGGCTGCCAGACAAACAGTTGGAGCAGCCTCTTCTCCCCCATGACTGCCTGCCTCCCCCTTTCATCCCCCCACCCGCACCCCTTGCAGGGCAACATCCTGCTCCCCGTTCCCCCTCACCTCCAGCACTCTCTTGTAGTCTCCGAGGTGGAAGGCGCAGTATCCAACCCACAGGTCGGCCTCCTCCTCCTCCTGCTCCCCAGCTTGACGCTTAAACTTCAAAGCAAAAGAGACGAGAAGGAGGGGTGGCTGAAGTGACATCACGCCATGGCGTTACAACGCGATTATGACACAGAGCCAGGAGACGCGCTCCCCGCAAGGGGGGGGAGGCCTCGGGGGTCCCTCCCTGAGGAAGAAGAGGAGGGGAGGGTCAGGGAAGCTACCCGGCCCCGGGGCCCCCAGTACCTCGAGCAGGGCGATGGCGCCGGTGAAGTCCCGCTGGGCCAACAGCTCGTCCCGCTGCGGCACCTTCTTGCCCTTCTTTTTCCGCTTGTCGCCCAGCGGCGCGGCGGCCCCCACGGCCGGCTTGGCCCGCGACAGCATCTGCGCCCGGCACGGCACGGCACGGCACAGCGGGACTCAGCGCCGAGGACGGCGGCCGGTCCCGTC